AGGCGGGCACGCAGCCCGGAGGCACCGTACCGCGGCCACGGGGGAAGAGCAAAGCCACAGCTCTGCCTGGGGACCCCCGCGGCTCCCAGCGAGGAGCGCGGCAATTTGCAGAGCGGCAGCTAATTACGAATGCCCGCAGCACCCGAGCGCACGCTGGAGGGGCCGTCTCACCGCAGAAGTAACGCACCTCATCACCCCCACCTCTCGGCGCCCACCGAGCCAGGCAAGCGCCAGCTCTTCCCCCCTCCTCTGTGCGCCCTGAGCAGACGCGGAGCAGCTCGTCCCGGGCGCAGCCGCTGCCGAAAGCCGGCGCAGGGTCTCCGCCTGCACCGAACCCCCTCGGAGATCCCCCGAGCTGCGGCAGCGCGGGCAGGGAGCGCAGGCTGGCAGCCGGCAGCGCGGGGCCGGGGCCGTCAGCGAGGCACCGCTCCTCCCAGGACCCACCAGCGGCCAAAAACGAAAGCTCAGCTCTTCAGAAACTCTCGTTTACCACGTCGTGATCTCCACTTCGCTTTCTGGCCGCTCTTCTTTCCCTCGGAATGATGAGGAGCTTCATGGGGAAAACATCCACGAGCAACTCCAGAGTTTCTCCTTTTTCTTTTGCTCAGCACTTGAAGGCAAACAGCGTGCGGGGGAAGAATCCGCTTTCCTCAGCTGCTGGAAGACCAACAGCCCGGCTCCAGCTCCAGCAGTAAGATCGTTTTCACGCAGAAGGTGAAGGCTGGTGGGAATTCCATCGGTGGCGGGGGAAGGCTCTTGCTTTTGCAATCCCGTTTTCCTTGGGTTTCTCTCGCAGCCTCGCGGGACGGGCACGGCTCTGATTTGTGTTTCAAGCGATTAGTCACAGGCATCTTCCAGCGCACACAATGCAGCAGCGACGTCCCCTCGCTGCCTGTCTGACCACCATGGGACTCGGTGACACAACGTCCTCCTGTCCGTCCTGACTCCCTTCTCAAGCAGAGCAAGGTCAGCGAGCGATAAACAGCCACGAAAACCCAAACCAACACGAGACGCGGAGCTGCAGCCGCGGCCGTATCTGCCCTTATCTCACCCCGTCCGTGGCCGCGGCGCTCAGCTCTGCCCCTCCCCGCACACCGACAAACTCACTCCTTATCGAACGCAATAACCTGCAGAAGGTGGCTGGAGGACCTCCACCGCCCACAAACGTCCTCTGATGTCCTGATTCCCTGTCCCAGGCCACCCGCACGCTGGCACATGAGGAGCCACACGCAGGTCCAGGGTCCGGCATCCCATGGTGGGCACTGCTGGACCTGTGGGGTCCCACTGTGCCCCAACCGAACCGATGCCGGGTCAGCGCAGGATCAGTTCTGGCCAGAAGGACACCGCTGTGGTCCAAGAGATCGTACAGGTCACCCCCTCACCCAGCCTGCCCTTGGGACCGCCATGGAAAGGCCACCAGCCCCTTAACTCGCCCGGGGAGGAGGTGGCCTCGGGGTAGGGAAGGAATTTGGAGGGATGGAAAACTTCAAACCACCCCAGTCCGACGCTGGGGCTCGGGGAAGCAGCGCCCCGGGCTCAGGGGAGGCGGCTCGGGGGGGGTGATGCTGACCCCTTCCCACGGGTACAGCATCACACGGGTCCCCCGGTACCCCCGTGCAAGTGCCACCGCTCCTTCAGGCCACCGAACCGTGGGCTCTGCTGCGCCGAGGAGCCCGGGCAGGCGGGGGCCGGGGGTCCGCCGGCGTGTGGCCGGATCGCTTTTCAAAGGCAGCAGCCCCCTCCCCCAGCCCCTCCGAGGCAGAGGCTGGTCTGCATTAACAGCATGACCGGGGAGGCGTCGAGCGTGATGGACGGGAGAGGGGAGGCAGAGGGCAAGGCAGGATCCTGCCCTTTGGTAACCCAAAGCACATCTCTGGCACTCAGGGATAAGGCGGAAAACGCGGCATGGTGGGAACGGCCTGAAAACGAATTCACAGGCTAATGAGCATGTCCAGGTTAGCTCACCCCGCGGGCGGGAGCGGGGCCGGGCCATCTTCTTCGGGGATGCTCCAGGTACCACTGGCTCTTCCTGGGGGGGCTCAGGGCATCCCTGACTCTTCTTTGGGGATGCTCCAGGTACCACTGGCTCTTCCTGGGGGGGCTCAGGGCATCCCTGACTCTTCTTCGGGGATGCTCCAGGTACCACTGGCTCTTCCTGGGGGGGCTCAGGGCATCCCTGACTCTTCTTTGGGGATGCTCCAGGTACCACTGGCTCTTCCTGGGGGGGCTCAGGGCATCCCTGACTCTTCTTCGGGGATGCTCCAGGTACCACTGGCTCTTCCTGGGGGGGCTCAGGGCATCCCTGACTCTTCTTTGGGGATGCTCCAGGTACCACTGGCTCTTCCTGGGGGGGCTCAGGGCATCCCTGACTCTTCTTCGGGGATGCTCCAGGTACCACTGGCTCTTCCTGGGGGGGCTCAGGGCATCCCTGACTCTTCTTTGGGGATGCTCCAGGTACCACTGGCTCTTCCTGGGGGGGCTCAGGGCATCCCTGACTCTTCTTCGGGGATGCTCCAGGTACCACTGGCTCTTCCTGGGGGGGCTCAGGGCATCCCTGACTCTTCTTTGGGGATGCTCCAGGTACCACTGGCTCTTCCTGGGGGGGCTCAGGGCATCCCTGACTCTTCTTCGGGGATGCTCCAGGTACCACTGGCTCTTCCTGGGGGGGCTCAGGGCATCCCTGACTCTTCTTTGGGGATGCTCCAGGTACCACTGGCTCTTCCTGGGGGGGCTCAGGGCATCCCTGACTCTTCTTCGGGGATGCTCCAGGTACCACTGGCTCTTCCTGGGGGGGCTCAGGGCATCCCTGACTCTTCTTTGGGGATGCTCCAGGTACCACTGGCTCTTCCTGGGGGGGCTCAGGGCATCCCTGACTCTTCTTCGGGGATGCTCCAGGTACCACTGGCTCTTCCTGGGGGGGCTCAGGGCATCCCTGACTCTTCTTTGGGGATGCTCCAGGTACCACTGGCTCTTCCTGGGGGGGCTCAGGGCATCCCTGACTCTTCTTCGGGGATGCTCCAGGTACCACTGGCTCTTCCTGGGGGGGCTCAGGGCATCCCTGACTCTTCTTTGGGGATGCTCCAGGTACCACTGGCTCTTCCTGGGGGGGCTCAGGGCATCCCTGACTCTTCTTCGGGGATGCTCCAGGTACCACTGGCTCTTCCTGGGGGGGCTCAGGGCATCCCTGACTCTTCTTTGGGGATGCTCCAGGTACCACTGGCTCTTCCTGGGGGGGCTCAGGGCATCCCTGACTCTTCTTCGGGGATGCTCCAGGTACCACTGGCTCTTCCTGGGGGGGCTCAGGGCATCCCTGACTCTTCTTTGGGGATGCTCCAGGTACCACTGGCTCTTCCTGGGGGGGCTCAGGGCATCCCTGACTCTTCTTCGGGGATGCTCCAGGTACCACTGGCTCTTCCTGGGGGGGCTCAGGGCATCCCTGACTCTTCTTTGGGGATGCTCCAGGTACCACTGGCTCTTCCTGGGGGGGCTCAGGGCATCCCTGACTCTTCTTCGGGGATGCTCCAGGTACCACTGGCTCTTCCTGGGGGGGCTCAGGGCATCCCTGACTCTTCTTTGGGGATGCTCCAGGTACCACTGGCTCTTCCTGGGGGGGCTCAGGGCATCCCTGACTCTTCTTCGGGGATGCTCCAGGTACCACTGGCTCTTCCTGGGGGGGCTCAGGGCATCCCTGACTCTTCTTTGGGGATGCTCCAGGTACCACTGGCTCTTCCTGGGGGGGCTCAGGGCATCCCTGACTCTTCTTCGGGGATGCTCCAGGTACCACTGGCTCTTCCTGGGGGGGCTCAGGGCATCCCTGACTCTTCTTTGGGGATGCTCCAGGTACCACTGGCTCTTCCTGGGGGGGCTCAGGGCATCCCTGACTCTTCTTCGGGGATGCTCCAGGTACCACTGGCTCTTCCTGGGGGGGCTCAGGGCATCCCTGACTCTTCTTTGGGGATGCTCCAGGTACCACTGGCTCTTCACTGGGGGGCTCAGGGCATCCCTGGCTCTTCCCTGGGGGTCTGAAGGCAGCCCTGGCTCTTCCTGGGGGGGCTCAGGGCACCCCTAGCTCTTCCTGGGTGGGGGGTCAAGGCACCCATGGCTCTTTATGGGGGGCTCAAGGCACCCATAGCTCTTCCTTGGGGAGGCTTCAGGTATCACTGGCTCTT